GCCGCACGAAAACCCCATCGTCTCGCTGAACAAGTGGGGGCAGTACGCGAGCGACGTGCAGCTGATCCTGCGCCGCACCGGGCCCTCTCTGAGCGAGAGGCCGACTTCGGACAGCGTGGCTCGCATCCCGGAGAGGACTCTGTACCGGCAAAGCTTACCTCCCCTGGCCAAGCTGCGGCCTCCCAGCGACAAATCCATGAAGAGGAGGGAGCCGAAAAGGAAATCTCTCACCTTCACCGGGGGGGCCAAAGGGTTAATGGACATCTTTGGGAAAAGCAAGGAATCCGAGTTCAAGCAAAAGGTGCTCAACAACTGCAAAACAACAGCGGATGAGTTGAAGAAATTGATCCACCTCCAGACGGAGAAACTTCAGTGCATTGAGAAACAGCTGGAGTCCAACGAAGCCGAGATCCGCTACTGGGAACAAAAGTATAACTCTAGCCTGGAAGAAGAAATGGTCAAGCTCGAGCAGAAGATCAAAAGGAACGAAGTGGAGATTGAAGAAGAAGAGTTCTGGGAAAACGAGCTGCAGATCGAACAGGAGAATGAAAAACAGCTGAAGGAGCAGCTGCAGGAGATGAGGGAGAGGATCCTGGAGTGCGAGAGCAAGCTGAAGGACTACATGTCTCAGATCCACAACATGGAAAGTGGCCTTGAAGCAGAGAAGTTGCAGCGTGAAGTTCAAGAGTCTCAAGTGAATGAAGAAGAGGTCAAGGAAAAGATCGAGAAGGTGAAGGGTGAAATTGATATTCAGGGCCAGCAAAGTCTGAGATTGGAAAATGGCATTAAAGCTGTAGAAAGGTCTTTGGGCCAAGCTACCAAACGGTTGCAGGTAAGAATGTCCTTTTTGTCCATAGTAGAGAAAAGTCAAAGACCTGACCGTAATAAATTTCTTTTACACAGATTTGGAGTCGATGAAAGAAAACACAAGAAAGTTTCCACAGTGAATTTGGGTAAAAGGAAGAAACCGTTGCTTTCATTTTCAAATTGCATTTCAGATTTTTTTTTGAAGAGTAGACAATTTTCATTTCACCTGTGTATATTTTACTCATTCAAACCATCTCAAAAGAAAAACAGTAGTTAGTTCCTTGTCCCAAGATAAACCAGCAGACATTTTGGTGGATGTGTTCCTGGCCATTCAGAAGGCCTGGGAGGCCTGCAGGGTTACTGCTGAGCACCACACCACCTTTCATTTATTCACTGAGTGCTGGCTCAGTTTCTTTCCCATCGGTAGCTTTGGTTTGCTACCATTCCCTGACTGCCTGGTGACCTCTGAGAAATCACGTGAAGCGTATCTTCACCATGCAGTGGTCCATGGTAGAGAAACACCAGAGCTAATATCAGCCAAACTAGCTGAGGGCATGTTTGAGGGCATTGTCCATGGCAATGCATGCATGCATGCATGCTGAGAGGGAGCGCTCGCTAACTGCAGTGAGGTGCTGCTGTGCTAGTGGGGTCTGGGCTCTTTTACACTTCAGACAAATAATATCTCCTGCATGAACAATAGCACATTTAGGGCTGGCGGGGGATTGTTGTGCTGCTGGGTGCTAAAAGGGACCATAGTGGTCTCGGCCTAACACCTTTAACAGTATTAGTCTTCTAACCCCTGTTGATTTGGTGTTAGATATCTTGAGGATTTAGGTCCTAGATCTTGGCAGCTCAGTGCTTCATGTTGTTAAATTTCAGGGAAATTTGCACCATCATAGCCTTTTCTGAGGCTAAATTTCTGATTCTTGCTAGGTTTGTCTGCCACCATGATGAATTAAAAAGAACAGTCCAAAAGCAGCACCTGGATAGATGGATGTAGAGCTAAAATAACTCTTGGCTTACAGGGCTTTTATTTTAAAGAATAGCATCTCCCTTTTTCCTGTCTGACTTGCTGCTGTTCAGGATTTTATTTTCTCTACACCTCAGGCATTTGTGGCACATGTGTCAAAAGAGAATCCAGTCTCTGGTTCCTTGCTAAAATGAATGATAACACCTGGAACTTGATAGAGCATGAAAGAATAAATATAGATGGAAATCCAGCTGCTAGCTGGATGAAGTGAAGGAAAGATTGTGGCTTCTGGGATTTTAATGTGCCACGTAAGATAGGACTGAGGCACCACGCATCAGTTTGAGTTGCGATTCTTGCTGTATTCCTGGGATTCACAGTTACTGTGTTCCACAGTGCTGCAGTTGCACTCAGGTGATTCTGCTGCGAATATGTAAAGGGATTTTGCATCCCTACTCCTGAGCACCTAGAACTATGTCAGTATAAGCTGTTCTTACTAAATGAGGAGGAAAAAAAAATGTATTTTTTCAATAATGTATAAAAAAGTGTATCTTTTCATCCAAAGCAAAATGGATGAAAACTGTAAGCAGTTTTGGCCATATTTATCTATCCTAAGTTTCCAGACACACTACGCTTAAGGATTTGCACTATAACAGAAAGCATCAAGTCCTCTTTATATATTTTACCTATTCGCAGTAACGCTCAGTGAGGCTAAGATTGAGTTCAAAATCTTTCTCGCTTTGTTTTTTTCATAGGCTAGGGTTTCACTTTCTTGGGAAAGTTCCCATTAAATTCAGATCTTCCAAGTTTGTTCTAAACCCAAAGGTGCACTAATCTGGAAGTCCAGGAGAAAATAAACTCAGCTCTGTATTATATCGTTTTGGGGGGAGGAAATAGAGAAATATTTTCTTGCATGCTGGAAGTTAGATATTAATATTCATAGAACTGTTGATTTGAAACTAGAAGAGTTGAGCATGGGTGTTTTTATAGACCTTTCAGTAAGGAAGGAAAGAAAACTTTGGTTCACTAGTTTTCAAGTGATAAGAACAGGATGGTGGCATTTTTTTAGTAGCATGTGAGAAATTTCTAGTAATTTATCCTACCTCCTCTCTTTCATTCCTTTCCTCTAGCCACCTCAATAACATTCCATTCCAACAGTATGAGGCAATGTTCAGTTAAGGATCAGATGCAGCAATCTGCTCTCCCTGTTTCTAGAGAAAGATTTTAAATGCAAAAAAAAACCAAAACCAAAACCCAAAATCCCACCCTTCTTCAGGTAAAAGATCTCACTAAAGTTTCACAATTAGATACTGAATTTAAGAGCTCAAACCAGTAGGATTTGGGGTGATACTTAAATTTTTACATTATTTCCTGTGAAAGGTGAGAAATGTCAAGAACAAGTGATTTGTGATGTTAGTTCTGCTAACCTGCATATTTCAGTGATTCAGTTTTTTAAGTTTAAAAAAACTGAATTCCCTTCAGTGGCAACTTTGTTACAATCTCATAAAACACGGAACTGTAGAATTAACACTGTAGTAAGTAAAGACAGTTGAGAATTTCCTGTGTCCCAAGTGCCCAGTTGTAGAGTCTAATAGGCCTAAAATAAATTGAAGAATTTTTCTGTAGAATTGTCTTAAAATTTGGAGGTGGCCTGGTTTCCATTTTTCAGTCCAGTTTCTCTGAAAGCTCATAGCCAATGAATGGAAACAAAAGTCTAGCATGGGAAGCTGAGACGAACCACATGATATGCATTGACTGAACAGGTCAAACACACGCGTTAGTGACAAAGCAATTGTCATTTAAAAGGTCCTAATTTAGACATCAGATCATTTGTGTTAATTTTCTTACTAACTGTTGAATTCAGCCTCAACTGTGACCTTACTGCAAGTTTAAAATGAATAAGGGATGTGCTGTTGGGGACTCTTCCTAGGACAGATCCACAAAACTATTCTCCCCCAATCTTTGTGTGAGTTCATATATAATTCTGCTTAGACAGGATAATTAGGGAGAAGAAGATTGACCCAACCTCCATCTCTTGCCAAAATGAGGATGTACCAGTATGCACTGCATGGAAATGCCCACAACCTGGCATCCGGGTAGCTAGCCCATCCCCTGTGTGGCCAAATAGGAGAAGCCCATCCTGGCTGAGGAAGAGTACCACATGCAGCTGCCTGAAGCTGAATCTGGGGGGTGGGGAGGGAAATAATTGTAGTCTGAGACTGTTGTAATCTGTTGGAGCTGTAGGTTTTGTATATCATGCTAGAATTACAGAGCATTGAGGAAGATCCTAAATGATCATCTTCTGTGCTTGTGAAGGGGTGGTGAACCAGCCAGGATTTGGCCTCATTGTACAAAACGGAGTACGCTTGCAGAGTGAGAGAGTTATGTCCATAAAAATTTACACCCTAAGTAGAAAACACAAAGAACAAGAAGAGAAGGGAATTATTCTCCTTTTAGGAACAGAAGAACTAAATGAGCTGTCCAAGTCATGCTGGACACTTCTGGCAGAGCTAAGATTTGGTGCCAGGCTGATGCTCAGCTGATGTATTTTTTCAGAGTGCTCACTATAACCTTTATTTGTTGTGCCAAAATTTTTCTCAGGTGATATGAGAAACATCTGCTAGTCATCCAAGAAGCAATATAAACAGCCCAGTAGTAACCCCTAATAAGTGAGTGTTGATTCACTTTCTAAATTACGAGAGTAAAATACCTTTCATTGATTACATTTGAATTTAAAAATCGGAGGCTTTCTCATCAAAAGGAGAAGCGTTAGTTGCCCAATTGCAAATAGAGAATTGAAATGCTGCTTTATGCTCGCTGCTGCTCAGCAGGTGTTTTCTCTTTCCTGGCAGGACAGGGAACAAGAACTGGAGCAATTGACAAAGGAGCTGCGACAGGTCAATCTCCAACAGTTCATCCAGCAAACAGGAACGAAGGTCACGGTGCTGCCAGCAGACCCTGTTGAAGTGGAGGCCCCGCATGTGGAGCTTGAGAGAGGTGCAGTGCTCAGCATGCTTTTGGTGGGCAGGAGGAGGGGACGGCAAATGCATTTACCTGCTGCATTAATGCTAGCACTCATACATCAAGTGAATGCTCTGTTAGCAAAGAAGTTAGCAAAATATTAAGAAAGCACAGTGTCACATACTTCTTTTCATTCCAAGGGTTCAGCAAGCTATAAATAAAACGCAGTATGTAGGTAACTGTGCCTGGGCATGTGTTTGTCCCATCAGCAACTCATTAGGCCAGTAGCTTTCAAGTGTGGCCACCATGGCTGCAGGCATGTAAGCTAGCATGCAACATGATTGCATGTCTGACATTGCTGTTCATCTGGGTTCTTCCTCTTCTGGGGGGGCTGTTGTCAAAGTAGAGAAAGGAATGTGTCTGGATCTCGAAAAATCCCAGAGAGCAGCCGCATGGAAATAGGAGCTAATCCAGCTGGGCTGCCAGCCATGCAGAAGTCCTGCACAGATGGCTGTTTGGCTGTTACGGCGCGTGCAAATTGACTTTGCCCCTAGCGAGATCAGTGCATTCTGCACAAGCCCACATCTGAATTCAGAATTTCCTGCACAGAAACATGGGAGCACTTTGAATGCGTGTCACAACTGTGGCACAAGCAGAAACTCGTTCACTGTGGCTCAGCCTCTGCTGTGGTGTGCTTTATCCAGTACCCTGCTTGCAAGGGGCCTGTTTCTCTCAGCATTCTCCATAGTTGGTTCTGTCCCTCCTCTCAGAAAACTTTGTAACCAAAAGGCATTGGGAGGGTGGGGAGGTGGGGAGAGAAGAAAAGACAACCAGGCCTTAAATGTCAGCACTTGCCTGAAGTTTCTCTTAAGTGGGCAGGAAGCTGAAGCTTTGAGTTATAGGTAGAAGCTCTTTCTGCATGTTACTGTATAAATGTACTGCATGTATCCATGTGCATGTTCCTTGTGGGAAGGTAATTATACTGCGTAGGTATATCTTTCTGTTTTGAAATGAGTAGGAAGTGTGCACCTTCGATCTCATCACTTCCTAGTCAGGCATTTGAATTTTTTGTTGTATGTGGTATTAGTTTTTCTATATTGCACTAAGCGCACTGCACTAAGCAGGAGGAGGAGAGGTGTTCTACAGACATCATCCTTGATGATGACTTTTCTAACTGCCCTTTTTCTTGTGCAGAGCCAACATTTCAGTCTGGGTCACTGAAGCGCCCTGGCTCATCGAGGCAACTCCCCAGTAACCTTCGGATTCTACAGAATCCCCTGTCGTCTGGTTTTAACCCGGAGGGCATTTATGTATGACAGTACGTACCTCTTCTGGAGAGGACCTAGCAAGGTACCCTGGACAAGATACATTTTTGTTTTATTCTGCCAATGATGAACGGAAGAAGATTTTTTTGTTTGTTTTTGTTACGCCACCGTATTTTTTTTTCTTCTTCCTCCACACACCACTTGGAGCCATACCCTGTGCACTGATGCTAAAGAGACAGCAGAACTGTCTCGATTCATAATTGGCAAGGATGAACTTGCTGTCAACACAGCTAGAGTGCAAAAACCTTCATTTGTTTTTGCCACTTCAGAAGTGTTTGGGAAAGTATTGTTCCGTGTATAGGCATAAATAAAAGACTGAGGGTGAAGGAAACCATGTATGCAACTTACCTGAGGTTTAATTTATTCCCTTTAATCAATGGACCTGTGAATGTTGACCTTTTATATTTTTATTTTTAACTTGTGAATAATCACGTATGGCTGTATGTCAGTCTGACACGGTGACTTTAATTTGCGTGTACAACCATCCACCATTTGATTAAGTACAACAACTTGCAACGCAGAGTTCTGTGGAGTGCTGAACCATTAAAATGGTTTCTCACCACTGACTTCGTTAATTTCTGTTGTGGGTCATAATATGTCATGTTCCACCCATTGCTACCTTTTACGGCTTGAAAAGTGAGCTTGTGGGATTTACTTGCTGTTGAATCTGCCTTGAATGAAGCACCTAGTGTTCAAAAGATTTATGGAATTTAAACCTTGGCTTGGTAAAAATATTTTCAGCATATGATTGAGGATGCACTAGTTAGATGATATTTTATTATAGAGAATGTATATTTGAAATATTTTGCCACATTGTATATGCCTTTTGAGAAAAGAACAATGTAAGAAGTTGTCTTCATATATCTTACCAAAAGAGAATAGAAGGCTTTCACTGAGTGTGATTCTGTACTTTATTTTTTCCACTAGCCATTACAGTGTTCTTGTTTTGCGGTAAATCTTGTTGTTGGAGGAGAAAAAAAACACAAAACAAATGATTCTCTTCCAGCCTTCCAAAATTCACTCAAGTTTTGTGGAGGGAAGAAACCTGGCAGAGTCCCATGAAGTCAATAGCAGAACTTCTACTGACTTGAGTGGGGCCAGGATTTCATTCCAGGTCCCCAGTGTTAAATGCTAGACGTTTAGCCCCTTTGAAAGATGTATTGCTGCTCAGTCACTTACATAAAATATAAAGAATATAAAGCTTACAAACAGGAAATTCACACATGTGGTAGTCATTTTTTACAAAAAATGTGAAAAGAGAACATGATCATATCTTGATGTCACTCTAATGCAATCAAAGCTAACTCTAATGCAATCAAAGCTAAGCAAGGATTAGACAAAATGGCTTCCATGCAGAAAGTAAGACACTACCAAGTAGCATGTTGGTTACAGGCCTTGAAATTTGATTGCTGAAGTCGACGACAAGTTTGCAGAGAAAGTGGCTGGCATCAAAGGGACACTTTGTGTACGTGAGGAGGCTGGCCTCATGGGTGAGTTAAAGAAGGGATGGGCCTTACCTAGTTGCATTTGGATTTCCTGTTCTAACAGCAATTCATACCGTCATCCCCTTTGAGATCCCCTTGACATGAGAGGCAGTCACCGTGCTTTCACTGCAGTATTGACTACCTGGGCCTCACTCAGTGGCAAAATGACAGAACTCCTGATGTCTTTGGTAGGGTCAGGATTTTACCACTCCTAGGAAACTCTGAGCTTTTTGCCATAAAAAATACTTAAGAATTCTTAACTCCTAGCATCCTCTTGTGTTGATTTACTGATGTGCAGATAAATGTTAATTTAAGTTTCCTTTTTTAAAAAAGGAGCTTCCTAGTCATGCTGACAAATGGAAGTTTTATAAGATATAGTAGAAGATGAAGGACTCTTGAGTGTTTAATGCATTTTTTTTCCCTTTCCACTTATTAATGGCATCATATATTCTAAAAATGCTGCTGTATTTAGACTAACAGCAACAGATAAGGCTGTGAATATATAAAGGACCTTTCCAAATGGACTCTGAATTTTTACTGTTTAACTTATTAGGTCTTTTTTTTTTTTCTCCCCTTGTGAGCAGACTGGAAAATGAGATGTTCCTACCTGAGGAATCTTTGCAGTGCTCACAGATTTTACTGTTAGTTTATCACAATTCTGTGCTCATGTTTACTGTGCCCGTAATTTTGTATTAAAAAAAAAAAAAGAATGTGTGTATATATATATTAAAAAAAAGTGTAAAATATACATAGTTTGGGAACAATATCTGTCCAAGGTACTTGAGCATATATGCCTTACATTCTGGGTTCAATTTACAGAAATAAAATGGCCTTCTCCAGTGGATATCTTGCATCTTCAGCACCTCTCGATGTTAGAGAACTGAGGCACTCAGCACCTTGCAAAGTCTGGCCCAAATTATGCTGCATGGGGGTGGGGAAGAAGGAAAAGCCTGTTGCAACTTCAGTCTTGTACTGAGATAATATATTTTTAAGGCAGATCAGCATACTTACCCAGTTAATGTTTTTGTCGTACTTTGTGACTGGTCCATCTCCCACAGATGTCTGAGCTGAATTGGGCTCTTGCATCATAAAAACTGCTCTCTTTCTCTGCCAGGTTATTCTTTAAGATGGAGGGAGGAGGAAAAGGATTAAAAGGAAGGGGAAGAGCAGCTTTGAGGGCTTGAGTTATGACTTTGTAATAGAATCAAGGAAGGAATTTGCCATTTCAGTTAAAAAATAGCATCTGCTGATTGCAGCAGCTGTTTGACAGAGGGGCCAGCCTGGAGCTGGCTCAGGAGCGGCCACTGCATCATCATTGAGTGGACCCTCCTTGTCAGGGCTTTAGCATATCTCAAGGTGATCTGAAAAACGTTTACAGCTTCAGCCACTGTTGTGGCAAAGGAGAGGCTTTGGTATCCAAACCTGTCATTTGTGAGACACTGACAATTCCCCCACCCCCACCATGCTCCTCTTGCTTATTGAATTTCACCCAGGTTAAAGTTCTGTAGCATTTTCACCCTCTCTGTAAATAAACCAAAAAGAAATGGCATGCCCTTGCATTAAATGTGAATTGAACAACGTATTAAGTTATAAAAATTCTTCACGTTATGGCGTTAAGAGTTTTGCTTCTGACCAACTGCAGAACCTCACTCTTTACAAATGTAGAAAAATTCATTTTCAGAAGCGTTTCAAACCTACTTATGGGGCATTAGCAGAAAGGAAGCTACACGTACTAATTTTAACAAGTGCCATAGTATTTACTGGCCAGCATGATAAAAATGGGGTTTTTTGCTTGCGTTAAATAGTTGAATACTCAAGCACTGTTTTTCAGTGCACAGGGAATTTATATGGAGAACTCCTGTCATTTATTACTAATGGAAATTAATTGTGTTACCTCTCTCATCCATGAGGATACAGTTTATTTTTGCTGGTGATGCTATGTTGTTAGGGGAAAAGGCAGGGGGGTTGACCATTTGAAAAGCCAGTAGGTTAAGGCTAAGGTAAACGTTCTGAATGCCCGAGCAACGGAGAAACCCAAGTCCCACTCTGAAAAGTCAGCTGGGAACCTGCCTCCCATCATCTTTCAGTGGGACTTAGGTTCCCAAGTGCCTGAATTGCTTCTGGAAATGGTATGTTAGCTTTGAGATTACTTGCTTTTCTAAACCCTAGCAAGTTGGAAGGAAGTTCTTGAAGAAAAGAACTACCACTAGCATTAGCAATATGCAAACATGCTTTCATTGTGAGGCAAGAGGGAAAAGATCCTTTAGTGAAATAAAAATCTCCTCTTGGGGCAATAATTGCCTTGTTCTTAGCATGAAGAGTATTGCATTATTTTAGTGAACTGGGATCATATGAGTATGAGCAAAAAAATTATCTTGTAATTTTTAGTGAGTTATCTTGAAGCATATAAATTCCTGATGTGCATTAACTTGAGTGAATTGGGCCTTAATGATCCATGTAAATAACAAAACTGTATTCAGATATTTTTTCCAGAAAGTAGTCTCTAATGGTCTGTACTGTATTAAAATAAGTGTCAAAATGTTACTTTTATATTACACCTTTTTTTTTTTAAAGAACATTGAAACATGCATGTTTATTCTATTTGCTACAGTATTTTAATGTTTTGGATGAAGGCCATCGGTTGTATGGAGATGACAAAACTATCATTCTGTCTATTTATTCAGTATTGCTGCTTAAAGTTTTCAAAATAAAGCTTTCAATGCCAATATAGTGACTGATTGAAAGCTGTTCTAGCTCTCTTCAGGTGTTTTTTTTCTATATTTATAGAAAACTAAATAAGTGAAACTTGGTATATAAACTGTTATACCAGCAAAGAATTATTGCAATAATATTGTGGGGAGGGGTTGGGGTAAGTGTGTGTAGTATATACGTAAATGTATGCATGCAGCGAATGCGTGTAGGTCTTAAGTAAATGGAGTGCTGAAAAGAATGTTCGAATCCTTTGTGGTCTTGTAAGCAACTTACACGTGCGATCAAATACTGGTTAGTGCTTTATGCCAGTGTGCAGTACTTGTGAGGGGCAGAGCAAGCAGAGGTGGTCACAAAGGATCAACTCGGAGCCCTTTGAACCAACTGGGATTTAAGCACATTCTTGAGTATTCCATAGATGGAACTGGGCCTAAAAGCATGTTCTGATACAAAAATCTTTCAGTTGCAGCAAGGATGCCTTGTTTCAGGTGTAGCTGGTACCTCTGAAAATTTGAGTAGTTCTGAGATGGACCAAGTATGCCTGCTCCATTTGTAGAGAGTATCAAAATGCAGAGAACGTTCACCCTTATGGTCACCGCGTGAAACTACTAACCTAGGGGTTCTGACTGGAAGATCTGAGTTGCTGACGCTTTAACCTAAGAGAAGCAAAACAAACTAACTGTGAAAATACAAGTAAGCATTTTATTCGTGCTCTGCTTCAATGCAAGATGAAAATCTGTATTATATGTAACTATATTTTTTGTCATTTAAAAAGCATCTATTTTTTATTATTCTCATGAATGGTTGACAAAAGATATTGGATGTGCTCCCATACAATAAATTGCCCTCTGAAACTTTGGGTCTTTACAGTTCATGGTTTGCTGGAATTGCAGTGTACATCTCGCGCATATCTCATGATACAGCTACTGGAACTCTGTGCGTCAAAGAACATGTAGCCTGAAAGCAGGCCAAGGTAATGCTCCGTGTGTCTAGAGCTCAAATGCTTTCAGAAATGGCCGTGTGTCGAGCATTAGGACACAGTGAACACTCCTAAATGGCAATTTACTTGCAGGTATGGGACATAAAACTGGTTGGTGTGAGGACTCTTATGGAAGACAAGACAGGTCCTCTACCATAAAGGGTGTACATGCTGTATTTTAATCAGATATAGCCCAGGAACTGTGAGAGAATGGAGTAGCTTGTTTTCAACTGAGGAACTGTTACTAAGATAGATATTAATCCTGAAAAGATAGGATTGGTCAGCAGCTCAGAGGAAGTGTAACTTAAAGCAGAAGCAGGGGTTTGTTTGGTGATGCTCAGGGAGAGGAATTGAATATACAGAATCTTCACACAACAAATAAAAGGTGCATAGACGCTTCAGAGAGCAGGAAGAAATTAAGCTTTGAACAAGGAACTGAAGACCCGATTCAGGCTTAGACCTTGTGCTGAAAACCGGAGGGCCTGTGAAGATCGCTTGAGATTATTTGAGTTGATCAAGTCAGGGAACTTGCTACAGCTGGGGACTTGTGATTTAAGCCATCCAAATGCAGTCCTTAGTCTAATAGCCCAAATGGCTTTTCCTAAGTCAACTGGAGCCTAATCTCATTAGATCTGAGGAGAAATAAGCTAACAGTAGTAGCACTGTTGACTGGCAGTAAGACAAAGAATGACATGAGCTTCACTGAAACCCTAGCATGTG